TTTTTGAACATTAAACTAACCATTTGCCAATTATTTTAAAGATTAATGCCAACCCGCTGTCTTTCTATTTGAAAAACAAATAGTTTATTTGCATATAAATGTGATGCCACTAAAAATGCACCAAAAAATTTGAACATTGACAAGAAAAATCTGTACAAAAATAAACTGATCGGGTACAAAAAGGTATCTATTGAACATTTTGATTTTCTTTTGTTTCTTACAGTCTTGTTGAAACCTCAGCATCACCCATGTCTTCACTGACATTTCCACCTTCAGCTGCTTCACTCAGTTCAGCGATCACTGTTGATAATGTGGCATTGGGATCCAACAGTTTCACCAGAGGCACATTCACACCTCTCTCTTGAAATATTAGATTCTGCAGAGTCATGGCCTGCATTGAGTCCATGCCCAACGATGAAAGGAGGGACTCCTCACTCAGCTCACTTTGATCAATGCTGATGGTCTCACTCAGCAGAGAGAACACATATTCTTTTGGTGAAACCAAATCTGTTTGTTTAGTCTCAGAATCTGCCTCTTTAGATTTTTGGAAGGCTTCTTCAACTAACGCTTTAAGGCGCAAGGTCAAGGCTTGATTCTGAGAGAGGATGTTGTATCTGATGTTCCTGAAGTGAAACCTGCAGATGGCTTGTTGGGGCCGGTTGAGCACAAGGCACTCTTCCAAGCTTTTGTGAATTTCGGCCACATCTAACACCATCATTCCCTTTGCCTCCAGGAAGCGATGGAAATGCTCTTTGTTCAAGAGCAGGCCAAGGTTCAAAGCTCCCCAGTTGATTGACTGTCCAGGCAACCCGAGTTTACGCCTGTACTGACAGAACAAGTCGAGAAAAGAGTTGGCCGCTGCATAGTTTGTTTGCGAGGCGTTTCCCAGGAATGCCGAGATGGAAGAGTAGCACACAAAGTAGTCTAACTGACAGTGCTGAGTTGCATGGTGCAAATTCAAAACACCGTTTACTTTGGGTTTGAAAACCTTTTTGTAAAGCGATATGTTCAAGGTCTCAATGAGACTGTCATGAAGGACAACTGCACTGTGAAACACCCCTCTTATTGGATAATCACTGAACTTCTGCCTGATTACGGTGAAAACATTCTGCACATGCTCAGACACCGATATATCACATTCCATGCTTGTGATGCTGTTTCTACACTGTTTCTGTACGGTGAGTAGTTCTTGCTGCACATGTAATGTCGGTTTGCTTCTGGAAAGAATGACGACATATCCCCCGCCTCTTTGAGAGATGAATTTGACTGTTTCAAAGCCCAACCCAGTGAGTCCACCAGTCACAATGTACACTGCTTTCTTTCTAAAAAGCTGTTTTTTCTTTTGCAACAATGGGATATTAGACACATTACCACTTGGGTCTTTTTCCAGAGCTATCACTGGAAGCTTTTTTGAGCTGAAATACGATGGCAGTTTTTCTGAATCGAGAATCTTGCTTTCAGATTTCAAACTCTGAAAGGTGAAGCTTTCAAGAGCAAACTTTCTGCTTAATTTCAGAGACTTCAGCCAGTTGTAAATGTGAGGCCTTCGTGCTTTCAAGTATCCTTTTTGCAAAATCACATGCATCTGAATTGTCTGTACACAAACACTTTCCTTTATATTTTGGCACAATTCCTGAACCAACACATTTTGCATCTGGGATTCACAGATAAAAACAGCATGCTGGACACCTGGAAGGTTGACAGATTTAATAGCAAGGGATTTATCAAATGGGGGTAGAATGACAAATGCATCCACTTGACTGGCATCTACAAAAGAGCCATTGCACTGTGTACCAACAATCACGTTCCAACCAGATTTGTGAGCACAAAGTGCCAAGATTTTCACCAGAGCAGAATTGTGGTCAGTGCAAATGATGCCCAAATTTTGTTTGGGTCTATGCAAGGTTTGATGAAGTATCTCCCAATTTAGGACAAAATATGAAACACAGGGTGTTTTTTGAAGGAATGGGAACATTTTGGTTCTGTAGCATACATCTTCCGGTACTTGAACTTTAGCTGCAGCCACAACAGGATAACAAGCAGCAACTTGGTCTCCAACTTTGAGTTTCTGCACATCTTTTCCAACTGCTGTAACTACACCACTGAAGTCAAGAGCAAGTAATTTGTGTTTCTGAGTTGAGTATTTATTCCAGTACAGTGTCTGGCCAAATGAAAAATGTGAAACACTGACAGGGAAGTAATCTGATGAATGAACACATATTTTACTGGGTTGAATTTCAACACAGGCATGGCTGATTGGATCAGCTTCACTGTGTAAGGGAATGGCACTTAGTCGAGCCATTTTATGTGCATCAGCTGTCTGAAAGACGCAAAGTTCAGATGTTGGACAGTTGTAACTGTCCTCTTTAGTCTCAGAGACTTTCAGAGGGGTGCGGACAATCGAAGGTTTCAAGATGAGCCCATTCTTTACCACCAACTCTGGGAACTCATTGCAAGGATGTGATCTTAGGACCTCAAAAAGCGCTTCAATGTCCTGAGTAGAGATGGCACTTATGTCAACCAGTTGAAAAGAAAGATCAGGTAACTCTGCAGCAAATGATCTTGTCATGCCAGCAAGAACAAAACCAGGACTTATGTGGTCTACGGTGATGTCAGATGATTGGTAGGTTATGGTTCTGATTGCTTTAGAGAACTGAATTCGCTTAAACTCAAGAACTATTTGGCGAAAAATTTCACAGCAGCTTGCCAGATTGTGCAAGATGACATCGGCCCCCTGTAATGTGAGATCTTCTTTGCTCCACAAAAATAACACCTCGTCAAAGTTTTCTTCAATATCTTTGATGTTGAGATTTGCCAGAAGAAATGGAAACCCATTGCTTAAAATATTGTTTGCATATGTGAAAGAAATATGTCTAGATATTGGGTCCAAATAATGTTGCAGAGCTTTTGAGATGCCTAAATCATCAGAGAAAACCAATGCCTTTGGAGGAGGAGAAGAAGAAGAAGAAGGAAAATGTTTGGGAACAACACTGAAATCATTATGGTAAAAATATTGCTCAACTACATGAGAGTGACTGCCAAGGTATTTGATTGTCACATGCTTCACCTCAACCAACACTCTACCTGCCTGATCTGCAAAGCAACCACAAACCTCAAATTGATCAGTGCCCACATCAGTTGCTCTCAGATAGATAATCATCTCATTTTGCAAGGGTTCAAACACTGTAAGGCTGCCTATTTTGGCAGGAAATCCTGGCCTGCCTGCAAAGGTATGTTCTACAGTAACAGGAAGAAGCTGCATCAAAAAATCCAACACAACAGGATGGATGGAGTAGTCATGCAAATGAGACCGTAGCTCCTCTGGAACTGAAACAGCTGCAAAAGCCTCCTTTAGATCTTCCCCATAATGCACGTCTGTCTTATTCTGAAAGACATCTCCATACTGAAAGCCGCCTTGAGAGAGAAACCCATAAAACTCTTCAAAACTTATGATAGAATTGCACCGTTTGTAGATGGAGCTTAATGAAATGAGCTGCTCTTCCATCAGCCTCTTCTTTGAAACCACTGTGCCTGAAGCATAGACCGCAGATGACGAAAACACGGTGAAAGCAGTCTCTTTTTCCTTTTGTTCCAATTGCACTTTCATTTCGTTAGAGTTTTGTTTTAAAACAAAGGGACTGTGAAAGCCGACACTGAGTTGCACTGATCTGAGGGGCACTTTTGGTTTGGCACTAGTGAGGAATGCAGCCAAACCCAACTCAGCATAGAAGGCACCGGGGATGATGGGTATGTTATTGTGCTTGTGCTCTTTTAAGTAAAGAGTGGCATCAGATGTGAGATTGCAACTGAAAATATTGCTTTCACTTCCGGTTTGACAGAGCACAGGATGGCTGCTTGGTTTGTTATTCTGGGCTGCTCCGATGATAATGTCTCTATCAGAGCAATCAAACTGGTACCTTGGGAAGAACAAAGGCGTTGTCTTGTAAGCTCTGTAAAAGCTGTTCCAATTCACCTGAATGCCCAACTCAAACAGTTTAGAAATAACAGACATGGCTGATTCATGGTCTTTCTGAGGTTCCACTGAAGCAACAACAGCTGTATTGTTTCCCAATGTTTCTATGATATTTCTCTGCAGTGCTCTTCTTGGCCCTATTTCCACAAAGACTGTAGTTTTCCTTCCTTTAGTTGCTGACTTCAAAGCCTGCTCAAAAGCTACTGGCTCACGAATGTTTCTCGCCCAGTATTGACCTGAGCAAAAATCTCCTTGCTGTCGTCCTTTCCCTGTAACTGTGGAGAACAGCTCTGTATCAAGGTCATTTTCCTGTAAGAAGCCAATTTTTATTTCGATTTCTGGTAGAATTGGCTCCATCATGTGACTGTGGTAGGCAGCAGGGACGTCCAGTACATGAAGGAACAGATTCTGACTGTTAGGAGAGTTGATTAACTCCTTATGAAGGCAATCAATTGCACATGGGTCACCTGAGAGTGTACAGGAACTTGGGCTGTTGGAAGCAGCAAGGCTAATTTTTCCGGAGTAGTTAGGGAGGAGAGAAGCTACCTCTGATAAAGCCATGTTGCTGATCACAAGCATCTTCCCCCCTGTCACTTTGGTCTGAAGGGTGCTGCGGAAGTATATGACTTTCAAAGCATCTTCCAGAGACAAGAGGCCAGAACAGTGAGCGGCAGCAACTTCACCAACAGAGTGTCCGAGCACAGCGTCAGGATGGACACCCCAGTGCCTGAGCAGGGTGGAAAGACCAACCTGGACAGCAAACAGCAAAGGTTGGACAACATCTGGGTTTTTAAAGTCACTGCTTTCAAAGTCGCTTTCGAGTGAGCTCAGGATGTTCAGAGGGCTCAGAGTTTGGAAAAGATGTGTGATTTCTTTTATTTTTTCTCTGAACACAGGCTCCTTTCTTAGCAGTTGTTTGCACATGCCGTGGTAAGTGACACCATTTCCACAAAACACAAACACTAATCTTGGATCTGACAGGGCTGGGCTAACGTTTTTATCAACAGCGACCTTCAGCTTCTCTTTAAGATCACCTACTGATGAAACTGCAATGGCTTTTCTGTATTTATGCCTTTGGTGGCTTCTTCTGCAAGCTGATGTGTACAACAGAGAATTGAAATCGACTTTGTTATGTGCCTCCAGTTGTTTAATGGTATCCTCAAACATCATTTTAAGAGACTTTTGTGTTTTTGCTGACACAACAAAATATTTCACCTGCTGCTCGTTGATACTTTGCTTAACACTTGGCTGTATGTGCTGTTTGACTACGGCATGGGCATTTGTTCCCCCAAACCCAAAGTTGTTCACTCCTGCAACTCTTGCAGTGGAAGATTTCCATTTTTCAATTTTCACTGGAATTTGAATGCGCAGGGTCTTTGCATCAACACTAGAAGTTTCATCTGAATAGAAAACTGATGGAACAATGGTTTCATGCCTCATCATCAACAGAACCTTAATCAGTCCGGCCACCCCAGCTGCAGATTCTGTGTGTCCAATGTTGCTTTTCACTGAGCCTATCCACAGTGTGCCTGAACCAGGAGGTCTGGCTTTAGCAATGATGTTAGAGATGCTTCCTAATTCCGTTGAGTCTCCTGTTTGAGTACCTGTTCCATGAGCTTCTATGTACTGGACATTTGCTATTTCACTGTCTGAGTAAACTCTACGCAGAAGGTCTTCTTGTTGTGTCATGGAGGGTTTGGTGATAGGACTGACTGAGTGTCCATCTTGGTTGACTGCAGTTTTGCAGATGATTCCCCAGATGTGGTCATGGTCTTGAAATGCCTATCAATTAAAAACAGGAGTCTAAAGTTAAAATAGGTACAAATATGTACTGTACATAGTCCATGGGCTAGGATGGGTCACAGTGTTTTCCAATTATAACATGGGGAGATTTTAATGCAAATTTAGCCCACTAACAGAAATAATAACAATCAATAAAATCAGGTGGATGATTTTGGCTTTTCTGATATTTGGCGTCTGCATCATCCATCATCCAAAGGGTCCTCTTTTTTCATTGTTACATCAATCATCCTCCCGTATTGATTATTTTCTAAGTAACTCAATTATAGCTACCATCTCCGACTCAGAAATATGTGCTATCACAATCAGCAATGCTCCTATAACTAACTTGAAATCAAATTTCAACCTCTTAAACCTACCAAAAGATGGCACTTTAACATCTCTTCTAGAAAACCAAGAATGTGATACAGTATATCACCTTTAACAGAAGAAATATAAACTGAATTAAGAAAATACAAATTTCAAGAACCCAATTCATGAACTCTTCCAAGAATAATGTTGCTATGACAATAAATCTGAGAAATTTTAAGCAAATCAGCTTAAACAAAACCAGGGGAAAAGTATTAAAGGCTCAGCAGGGAAGCCAATCCGGATGCCTGATAAAATAAACAAGATTTTTAAAGACTTTTATGCGAATTTTGTTCTCATCAGAAAATTCTCCAAGTCAAGAAAACAATAACCTATCTCTAAATGACATCAATCTCTCCCTCAGCTAAACAAGGAACAGACTGATATGCTAAACTTATCTACATCAGAAAAGGAATTTTTTACAGCCTTAAAATCTCTGCCTAATAATAAAGCACCAGGCCCTGATGGCTTCCCTGCTGAGTTCCACAAACATTTTTGGGGTATTTTTTTCCCCAGGCGTCATTCTGCCTTAATTTTATACATCTGCTTAAAACTATTAATGATAATGTACTCAGATTGATGAATTTACACCTTTCCATAATAGGGAGGACTGCTACTGTCAAAATGAAAATTTTACCAAAGATTAATTACCTTTTCTCAATGTTCCATCTCCACTTACTATATCTTGTTCAATTCACTTGACACCATTCTTACAAAATTTTACTGGTAAAATAAAACACCCTGAATGAGGCTACAAACACTTCAAAAACCCAAACTAAAACGTGGACTTGCAGCTCCAAATTTTAGGACTACATTACCAATCCTGGTCCTCAAGTACTCCTATCCAGCATGTTTTACTTGTTTCCCTGCTATTCGGTCTTCAGAAGATTGTTAATCGCTTATTAATTCAAATCAGATGTGTCAAATCAGGAAAACACCTAAAAATCACTGCTTTAAATGTTGACCAACACCTCAAGAGCTTATCTGAGCTCGATAAGCTTTATATATATATATATATATATGAAATGTGGCAAAAGATTGAAAAGTTCAAGGGGGCCGAATACTTTTGTAAGGCACTGTAGCCCTGTGTCTACAAAAAATGTTTTGTTCTCTTAGCAGGTTTCATACCTTTTTCAGTGGTTTTAGGAGGACCACCCCACAGCCCTCCCCTCTCCCATAACCATCTGCTCTGATAGAAAAAGGTTTGCTCGTCCCTTCAGGTGAAATCATCTTGGCTTTGCTGAGCGCCACAAACACTCTCGGCTCAATGATGCAGCTTACGCCTCCACAAACAGCCATGTCACAATCACCTGATAAGAAAAAAACAAGGTTTTAATTATGGACTTTCAGAGGTAGTTTTCCACTTGTTAGAAGTCATGGTTCCATTCAGACCTTGTTTAATAGACTGGCAGGCGAGATGAAGGGCAACAAGTGATGATGAACAGGCACAGTCAATGGAGAGAGAAGGTCCAGTAAAGTTGAAGATGTAAGAGACTCTGTTTGCTGCAATGCTCATGGCAAGCCCAGTTCCTGTCCAGTGGTTGATCACACTGGGGTGCACGTGTGCAGCGTTTGTTTCATAATCTCTGTTCATTATGCCTGAAAAAGGAGTGTGAAAWGTATGAAATAGCTCCCTATTTGGGAATATATATTAAAACTCAGCAAAGTTTCCGTTTTAAACTTGGGCTTTAGAACAAGCAGAATATTTTGTAAACTTGTCATGCAAATCTAAAGATACAACTGGAAACATATATTAATTGTCTTACCAAAAAACACTCCTGTCCTGGTCCCATTGGCTTTCTCCATTGGAATTCCAGCATTTTCTAAAGCTCTGTAAACACACTGAAGGAGCTGTTTTTGTTGAGGATCCATTTGTTCCACTTCACTGTCACTGATGCCAAAAAACTTGTGGTCAAATTCATTAAACCTGTACAAAAACCAATACATTGATGTAATTACATATGAAATCGCATAAAGACCTTGAAAGAAATAACTAAGTTAAAATAAAACGTAACTTAACAGAAAATGACTGGTAAAAATTTATTTCACTGACAACAAATGTACTTAAGTAAAAGTCATAAAACTTCTCACGATAAGTAAAAATGAAAGTAAAATAACTTTTACAAATTCTAAAGATGTTGAATTTACCTAACCAAGTTTTGTCAACTGGAAATGTGTAAATTCATTTACATTTATTCAACTCAGTTTAGAGTAACCAGTTGACATAACTTGGTTGAGTATATTCAACACTTCATTTTTTAGAGTGCATAAAAACTCCTTTCATGATGAGTTTGGTCATATTTAAATTTGTAGCATGTAGCTAGGTGTTAAATTGTAAAGAAGTAAAAGTATTATTTTTATGTTTTGATTGTACCAAAATGTACAAGTTATGATAAAAAAAACACGGCAAAATTACGAATCCTCAAAAAAGTTACTTAAGGATTGTAAACAAGGGCGTAACTTTGTGCTGAAAGTTGGTGGGGACGCACCGTGGGGGACGGGGTCTGACACACCCACAGTTGTGCGACCAGGTTTTTCTGTTGTTCACGTCTTCAGTGTGTGCTCAGTTTAACTGTCTGCTAGGAATGCGCGATATAAACGATATACGGTAGAAACGATATAAATTTGTCCTATGATAGAGATCTGTAGTTTACCGGCCAACCGCTCAATTGTTTTTGATGACGTAACCGGCTGGAGTCAAAACAGAAGAAGCGTGGCTGAGAGTGCAAATGAAGAGGGGGAAAAAACTTATTCGGACCTGGTTCGGGTGTGTGAAAATCAGTGCCGAACTGTTTACGTGTTTACGTGACAGGGCGTCCTCCGGTCGGATGCCGACCGTCCACACTGCCTGCAGTGGGAGGAGCGCGCGCCGCGACATGTTTGAAAGGCTCGACACACTGGAGGCGACGTCGCTTGCTCTCCATTCATTTTCATGCAGCGAGGTGACTGTCAGTGCAGGTGAAGTCAGTGCTCAGGTGGGACGCACAAAAATCAGTCTGGACCTTGTTTCTCCTGCGGTCATAGCACGACGACGCACGGCCGAATGCGCGCACTCCAAAGCGCGCACTCCAAAGCGCGCACTCCAAAGCGCGACTATAATGATTGTCACCCCGCCGGAGCGCGCACAGATTAAACAGGTGGATTGCAGAAAAAAATCTGCAAAGTGTGTAGAAAGGAATAAATACAAGCAATTTGTTTTATCACCTTAAAATGAAGCTGGTGATTCCAAACACAACATCCAATGGATGCAGATATCTATTACATTAAAGTTATTGTGTGTGTACACACACACACACACACACACACACACACAC